CTAAAAAATTACACCATATTTACATTATATTATTAGGCTCAATAAATTTAACTGTTAAAATGACAAATATAAAAATACTATTAACAATGTAATGTACCATGCAGCACAAAAGGTGGGGTTACACGAGTTAGAGTTCAATTTAAGTACCAGGCCTGGACTTTATGGGAACAAAAAAATATAATAATACAACACTTATAAGTACATATTCTCAAGAAATATTCATTAAATTGATCAGTAGTGAAATAAATAACAATGATTAATTATAAAAAGAGTTAATATATATTTCAAATATTCAAAAGTCAAACAACAAAATAAACAAGTAAAGAAATTCTTTGATTATATACAATCAAATTAAATCAGATCAAATCAATTCAACAATCAATTCAAATCTCCACAAAAAAAAAAAAAATACTCAAATCATATGTTTTCTATGCTGATTGTTTATCCGAGATGTTTCTATGACTGTTGCTGTTGGGAGCTACACCATACTGCTGGTTGGACGTAACATCTTTTATTTGGTTCTCCATGTAGCTCCACACTGCCCTAATTACATTCATTTGCATCACGGGATCAATTGTTGATGCAAATTAGTATCTCCATGTAGCTCCACACTGCCCTAATTACATTCATTTGCATCACGGGATCAATTGTTGATGCAAATTAGTATCTTTTGCCTTTTTCTTTTTGAATTTAGCACATTGAGGGTTAAGGAGTTTCTGTCCTTAATTAAAAAAAAGGTCCCTGAAAAGAAAATAATGAAAATAACTATAACTAAAAATAACACCCAAACATAAGATAATGATCGGACTTTGACTCGTTACAACAACATTTTTGATATATACTTGTTTTAAACAGTTCTATTATACTTACCATTAATTTTCATATTAAACAAATATGAAAATTAATGGTTACTTTTAAATCTATATAGCTGGTTTTGCTTCTCATTATTGTCAGAATAAAATAATCTGTAACTACTAATCATCCAAACTTGATAAATAGTTTAAATTTATTTTATCAAATTATCAAATCAAATTTGGATGATTAGTAAATTATGCTTGGCAATTAGTGATGAAAGATTTTTTTTTAATACTATACAGAAAGTTGCTCTGAAAAAGAAACAATATATAATTATTATTGCATTTTAAAATAATTTATTTGAATGCAATCAAAACTATTACAGAAGTAGATGATTCAAGTATTTATTGAAAGATGTAGATTTATCAAAAGAATCATAATTTATATCTTTGTCAAAATAACAAATATCTTGTTGATATATAGTATAAGATACAAAGTTGAATATTTTCTATATTTTTTATTTATTGTTTAAACTAAACAAAGAAATTTATTTAATCATAAAATGAATTAAATAATGGAATTAAAAATTATAGTCTTCAAATTAAAATAGTACTTTATCATCAACTAGTACAATAACAGCAGTGTCACTATCCATTGAATTTGATAATGATGAATTGCTTAAGAATTAATGTAATGACTTTCTCTAATGTAACTAAAGATGCTAAACATTCTATATACATCGACAATTTTAATATTTATTTTATTAAATAAACAAATATGAATGAATGTTTGCTTATTTAATGCAATGTCTTTCTTTTCCTACCATTTAAGATTCTTACAAAAGTTTTTAGCCATTTCATATAGCCAACATTAATTTCAGAAAAACATCTAAATTCTGTTAAATTTCAATTATGTGTTTGCTTTTTTTTATTTTTAATGACACTAGATTTGTTTTCTTGGATAAAATAACAATTTTATATTAAATACAAGTTTTGTGAGCCAAAAAGTATGATTGTTAATTATGTTTGTTTATCTGAAACATGTGTAATGCCTAAATATATATCACATATTTACAAAACAGCCAATCAATAAATACAAGAAAAGTCTCCAAGTACATTTAGTTTTGAGATAATTTAATAATCTTGTTCTCAAATCTCGGAATTTAGCAAACTATTAAAATTTGTTGGTGAAACCATGTCAGTAATTTTAGTATTAGTTTAATTATTGGATTTATAAATGCCATAATTTGTTAATGTTAATGAAATATAAACATACTAAGAGCTTAAGTTGCATGACAAAACAAATTTATATAGCCAATTCACTCATATGAAAATATATTTTAGGGCATAGTGTAAAAATTTGTAGTAAAATAGTGTTATGACTAAAAAGTAAAAAATTTCCTTTAATACACAAAACAGTACTTTAAATATTTAAATAGTTTTTTGTAAACATTAGGTTGCTATTTTGACAATATCATGTATTTTATCAGTTAAAATTACATCAATTTTTGAAGTTATAAAATTAAATATTTGTTATTAGTATCAATAGGTTGAACATACAAGTTTGATTTGTTGAAAGGAAGCACCTATCAAGAAATTAAAAATTTTATAGAATTGAATTTTATTATTGGCAGATAAAGCTTTAAAGTTTTGAATATAGTTTTTATTGTAAAATTATTGAAATATATGTAAAGAAGTACTAAATAAACATTTTGTATCATTCAATAAGATACATGCAAGGAAAGATGAATACTTATTTAGCTGAGGCATGTAGAAATGCATTTATTTTGTCTTAAACATTTAAATATTGTTTTTAGATTAATTCAGAATAAAAACATTCCTTATATTTTAAGTCAGCATTTTTTGACTTTTATAAATATAAGTAGATTTAATTTATAAGATAAGTTTGTAGAATTATAACTCCCAGTTTCTGTTGTTCATTAAAAACTGATATATTTAAATATATTAAAATACAGTAGAACAGGGCTTCTTAAACTATTTTTATTCACGACCCCATTTATGATTGTGATTTTTTTCGCGACCCCCCCCCCAAA